AAGTGCTGGGGAGGGGTGGGAGGGAGCGAGCCAGAGTGCAGAGGAGGTAGCGTCTCACCTAAGGCCACCCACACCCCTGGGGATGAGGCAGGAGAGGCCCCCAAGCGGCCTTGCGCTGAGCTGTTGGGGAGACCAAGCTGCTGGAGACGGCTGTTTAGGGTTTGGGGTGGAGATCCCAGCCTCACGGTGGGGAGAGGGAGGAGCCACCAGGGAGACCCGCCGTACCCCACCTTCAGGCAGTGCCTGCATTTCCCTGCGGAAGCTCCTCCGGTGTGGTTTTGTCAACTCAGAACTGCGGCCTGCAGCGCAGGGTGGCTGTCCCGTCGCCTTCTGCACGCGATGAGGCTCAGCCAGCCAGCCACTGCCGGGGTCAGAGTCCGTGCCCCCTGAGCTGCTGGTGCCCACAGAGGGCAGGGAATGCCACTCGACACTCTTGAGATGCTGTTCCACACACTCTCTATGCAGCTCCGAGCCCCACTGGCCAGGCACTGGGGCCGGTGGGGATGGCAAGGCCCGGGGGTGCCTGTGGGCCACAGTCTGCTGACCTGCTTGCTGCCTGCTGGCTCTGGCTTCTGAACTCCAGCCCTGCCCCCATCTAACCTCCCCAAGGTGGGCGGGGCACCCCGAGTTGTGGTTCCAGTCCCTGGGACCCAGCCTGGGAGAAAGGCCATAGATGGACTGTGATGGCTCAGGAGCCCTTTCCCTTCAACCTTCACCTCCTCCTGTAGATCAGAGAATTGACCTTGGGAGGTGTCAGTGGCTCCTCCAGGGACACTAAGGGGAGATCTTGGACTCTGGTGCACACATGCCAAGGCACGCCCTCTCCTCCCTTCACCCCCGCAGGAGTCCCTGGCCAGCACAGTTACTTTTGATCTGAGTTGGACTTGATGTTGGCGAGGAGGTTGGGATACCGATGGGCAATGCTGTTCCAGTCTACGTCCTCCAGCCGGAAACCCTGGCCAGGAAGCAACAGGAACATGGCTCTCCCCTCCCACGGGCCCACCGAGCCATGAAAGCACACGGGGGCCTTGCTTACCTCTCCAGTAGAGGGGACCTGATCATTCTCAGAGAGGTCACTGGAGTCCATCAGAGTTTCTGCAGTTACCACCTGCAGAAGGGGAGTGGAGGCCAGTGGGGGGGGGAGCCGGGGAACGAGCCTCTCCCCTTGGAGCCTCACCAGCACCCCAGGCACACATTTGCTGTGCATCAGGTGGGCGGAACCAGGGGGTTCCTCCCTGCCTTAGACCACGGTCCTGGGGGTCAGGCTTCCCAGGCAGGCCGGGGCCCCCCAGCGGAAGCACCAGCCTGGAAGGGACACCCTGGCTCTCCAAGGGAAGTCCAAGGAGGGCTGGGGAGGGGGACGTGGGAGGCAGGAGGGTGGGCCGAATGGGGCTTACCTCCACACTGCCGGTGGAAGATCGCAGCACGCGACCCACCCAGGAGGAGCGGGCCAGCTGCAGGAGGCAGGACCTCTGGACCGCCTGCAGCTCAGTCTCCAGCTGGGACTTCTCCTGCTCCGGGAGGGTGCGCGGGTGGGGCAGGGCCTTCTCCCCACCCCCGGAGCCACCCCCTGCCTGGCCCCTGATCCTCACCCCAGCCTGGGTCCCCTGACCAACCCCTGATCCCACCTGCCCCTCACCAGTTGGGCCTGTTCCTTCTGCCCTTTCAACTCCAGAGTCAGCTTCTGGACCCGGTTCTGCAGGAGCTTCTCCTGACTGTGTGAGCAACTGGGGGAGGGGCCATCTCAGCAGCCCCCACCTCGAGGTCAGTAGCCAAGGAAGGGAGGAGGAGGGGCTCCTCTTCACTGACAGTGGAGGCCTAAGGGCACAGAGTCCCACCGGGCCAGGCCAGGTCGGGTTTTGAGAGGTGTGGGTCATAGGTCGAGTCTAGGTTCAGCGGCCATCGACATGTTTAGAGTCAGGGTCTGGGCAGGTTTACAGCATATTCACTCTTTCAGGGTTAGGTTGGGGGGTGAGAGCCAGGTAAGGATAAGGGCTAGAGGCAAAAATCAGGGTAATTATCAGGTGGGAGTGTTGGTCAGCCCCAGCGGTTGGGGATGAGGGCAGACAAAAGCCATTTCAGGCCAGGACAGAGGCTGGGTTGGGCCGAAGGACTGGCACTTTGCCGCTCACCTCTCGGGTGGCAGTCCAGCCACCTCGTACAGGATGTGGCAGTGCCGGGCATTCTGGCGGTTCCGGATGGTCCACCGCAGAGCCTGGATCTCCAGTTCCCGCTGACCCCACAGCAGCCGCAGGGTGCGGGGGTCCAAGGACTCAGGGGCCAACCTGCAATGCCAGCACCCTTGCCACTTGATCAGGCCCTGCCCTCCAGCTGACCACCCCTCCCTCGCTTCCTTACTGCAGGTTGACGGGGAAGACCACGGGCGTGGAGCTGGGCTTGGTGTCCTTCAGGCATGCAGGAGCCACTGGGTCTTTGGGTGTGCCAGCTGGAGGCTCCAGGTGGTAACTGACCGGCTCTTGGTCCGCCAGGGATAAGGCAGCCTGTTTCTCAGCTTTTTCAGCCTCTTGGCAAGGCTCAGGGGCCATTCTCGATGTTCCTGGGGGAGCTGAGATGGGTAGTGTGGCTGTCACCCTTGTGTCCCATGGGTAGGTACCACGTGGGGCTCTTCTTTCATGGCCACAAGTGTGTGCCTGTGTCTGACAGCCCTAGACAGCATCACTCCAAAACTGCCCTTGTATGTGTGCGCGCGTGCGTGTGCATGCGCACGTGCACGCCCCCAGGACACCAGATTGTCAGCCACATGTGTGTCTATGTCTGTGTGTTTCTGACCAGGACAAGGCAGCAGATAACTGTCCCCCACCCCCTTCCCCAAGCAACATGTCACCAGGATGTATACACATTTCCTGTTGTCTCTCTGTCACCCTTGCCCTCTACGACCTGAGGTCCTGCCCTCAGCCTAAGGCAAAGGTCCCCAGAGGTGTTAATCCTTTGCCTGTGATGCCCCCAGACCCAGGGCCTTACCCCCAACACTCACCTGAGGCCTGAAACCCAAGCAGGCCTAGGGAAAGAAAGGCTTTACAGTGTTGCCATGGATACCAGCACCAAAAGGGGAGGGGCTGTTTGTTACCAGCAGCTTCCAGGGAGACCCCAGACCAGGACCCTGAGTGAGTCCTGGACCCACCTCCAGATCCTGCCTGAAGGAGAAGTGGTAAGAGGCTGGGTTGTCGGCCAGTGAACCTCAGGAGGCCCAGGGAACCACAGAGCGACCAGCCAGGCCTGCCGTGGCCACACAGTCCACCACCCCCAGCCTGACTGCCTGACTGTGGCACTTGGTGGGTATCGGGGGCATTGCTGCCCTGTATGTGGGGGCTTACTGAACTCTAACCGGCAGTGAGGCCCTCCTGAGTGTTTCCCACAGCTTCTTTGTCCTCAGAGGCTGATGCCCACCTACCTGGCCCCCAAGCAAGAAGCCCCCCCTGCCCCCATCCATCTCTACCCCCTGGGTCACCTCAGGGAGCCCCGGGGAACCTCTCATAACCACGATAACTGTTCCCTCTGCCCCACACCAAAAATGAAGCACCAGATCTGACACACAAACTGATGCTCTCCAGCCTTCACCCCGACCCCTTTCTAACTTTTTCTTTCTTTCTTTCTTTCTTTCTTTCTTTCTTTCTTTCTTTCTCTCTCTCTCTCTCTCTCTCTCTCTCTCTCTTTCTTTCTTTCTTTCTTTCTTTCTCTTTTTTTCAGACTCTCAACTTCGCGTTTTTGTAGGACTTCCTGTGCTGCGGAACATACAGGCTGGCAGGTGGATCCCCGTGGCAGAAACAGGGCTCTGAATGCCTGGTCCACAGACAGCATTGAGGCTGTGAGGCACCCTGGCTGCCGAGCTGGCTTGGGTCCGACCAGGCTGGAGTGTGCCCGCGGGCGTCCACAACTCGAGAGGGCACCGAGCTCCACTGGGGGCAGGCAGGGGTGGGGGAAAAGAGCCCAGGGTCTATGTCTTGCTTTGTCCCCAGCAACCTGAAGGCGGCCTTCTCCCCTCACCAGGATTGCCAACCTGGCTGCAGTGGCCCGCCAGCTCCACCTCCCTCCCGCGGGGGCTCACGGTTCCCCGACCCCTGTGCGTCCCGACGACGCGCCCTAAGGGAGCAAGGTCGGTGGGGCCCTGGCCTTGGGGACCCCGCTGCCCCTCTCGGCGCAGAAGCTGCAGGGTCCCAGGCCAGCGCTCCCTCTCTAGGCAAAAGACTCATCAGACTGGGAGGTTTCTGAGGAGGTCGGCCCGGGAGCGGAGCCAGACACCTGTCCCACGCGCCGCCCGGGGGCCAGGGACGCGCTTCCGCGTAGTTCGCGGTCCTCAGGCGTGCGTGGACCAGGCTCGGCCCGCCCCTCCGCGCTGCCGAGCTCCGCCCACACCTGGGCGCCGCTGAGGGCGGGGCGGGCGGGGAGCCAATGGGAGGGGCGGGGCTCAGAGAGGTAGCCAATGGGCGTGGGCGCGGGGCGGACGAGGCGATGGTGGGAACCAATGGGGGCGCTCGGGGCGGGGCGCTCGGGCTGCGGGCCAATGGAGCTGCGGGCCGGGGCTCGCCCGCCGCGCTGGAGGCGGCAGGTTGCGGCGGCGACGGCGCCGGCCGCCGGGAAGCAGCCAGTTCGAGCCTAGGTCCGGGAGGCCGGCGAGCGCCCAGGTGAGAAGCGCAGGGCCCCAGATCCTCCCGAGTGCGGGGCACGGCTCCGGGCGGCAACTCCGACGGAGGGGCGCGGGCTGGGCGGCCGTAGGGGGCCCCGCAGCACCTGCAACGGCCCCCGCCGCAGAGACGGCAAGCGCGGCGGCTGTGGGGAGCGGGAAGGGGGCTGCCCGCGCCGGCAGGGACCGCCCAGGCGCGGTTCCGTGCCTCCGGAGGGCCGAGGTCTGCGTCTCGGGCGAGGGGGCGTTCCCATGGCAGAGGGAAGCCGTGTTTTCGTGAGGGCGCCCTTGGGTGCCTGAGGACGGCGTCCCGTGGGAGGGGCAGTGCCCTTCGAGCCAGGTGACTGGGGAGGCAGGAAGTCCTGGATCTGGTTAATGATTCGCCTCGTTCCGGGATTGGGGTGAGGCGAGAGGAGGCTGGGCAGTGGAGGAGCCTCAAAGTGCCCCTTGAGGGCGGACTGGTTCCCCCTGCGGGGGGTGGGGGGGGGTCTCCACTACTCCCACCCCAAGAATGTGTGGCCTACGGGTGGGGCTGGGCACAGGAGAGCGGGGCTGACGTCAGGGGGACAGTAACCCTGAGCCAGTTCTGGGGGAAGAGAGGAGAGCCAGGCTGGGCCTGACCCTGGCCTTCACCCTCCGTGCAGGACAGGGATGCTCTCAGGGCTAGCAGCCATGGAGCTGAAGGTGTGGGTGGATGGCATACAGCGCGTGGTCTGTGGGGTCTCAGAGCAGACCACCTGTCAGGAAGTGGTCATCGCGCTAGCCCAAGCAATAGGTGAGTCCTTTCTGGCACGGATGGCCCAGCAGGTGCACCCGAGACTGGGCCCGCCCCTATGGCCCCTTTCCACCAAGGAGGGTGGGGCTGGTTGCTGATCCCTGTTGCTCTCCCTCAACTTCTCAAGCCAGGTGGATGGAGGGTGGGGGGGATCTAGGCTGACCCCTCTCCTCCTACCCCAGGCCAGACGGGCCGCTTTGTGCTCGTGCAGCGTCTCAGGGAGAAGGAACGGCAGCTGCTGCCCCAGGAGTGTCCAGTGGGTGCCCAGGCCACCTGTGGACAGTTTGCCAGTGATGTCCAGTTTGTCCTGAGGCGGACAGGGCCCAGCCTCGCAGGAAGGCCCTCCTCAGACAGCTGCCCACCTCCTGAACGCTGCCCAGTCCGGGCCAGCCTCCCCCCGAAGCCACGGCCAGCCCTGGGCCATGAGCCCCGCAAAGCACTGACCTTCAGCCTTGGGTGCCCTGGGCTGGCCCCCATCCCTGCGCTGCCCGAGCCTGTGGCCCCCGTAGCACCAATGCCAGGCTCCTGTGCAGACCTGCAGGGCCTGGAGCGAAGGGTGCGGAGGAACGCACTGGAGCTGGGTCAGGAGGCCTTCTGGGAGCAGGAGCTCAGGCGGGAGCAGGTGCGGGAGCGTGAGGGGCAGGCACGCCTGCAAGCCCTGAGCGCCGCCACTGCCGAGCACGCCGCCCGGCTGCAGGCCCTGGATGCCCAGGCCCGTGCCCTGGAGGCTGAACTCCATCTGGCCTCAGAGGCCCCCGGGCCCCCCTCACCCACGGCATCTGCCACCGAACGCCTGCGCCAGGACCTGGCCGTCCAGGAGCGGCAGAGCGCGGAGGTGCAGGGCAGCCTGGCCCTGGTCAGCAGGGCTCTGGAGGCTGCCGAGCGTGCTCTGCAGGTAAGCCCCCCTGGGCCCCGAGCGCCTGCTGACATCCCCAGCATGGGCAGCTTGGGGGGCGGGTGTCAGGGTGTGACCAGGGGGAGCACGAGGCCGTGGAGCCCTGCGGCCGTCTCCTGAGGGTGCCCTGTGCCCCAGGCCCAGGCCCAGGAACTAGAGGAGCTGAACCGGGAGCTCCGCCAGTGTAACCTGCAGCAGTTCATCCAGCAGACGGGGGCTGCGCCGCCACCACCCCCGCAGCCAGATGGGGGCCCCCCTGGCACACAGGTCAGCGCCGTTCTGGAGGGAGGCTGGGTGGCAGGGGAGGCCTGGCCCAGTCCTAAGCCGATCTGCTCTCCCCATAGGATCTTCTGCCTCTGGCCAGAGAAGAGCCTTTCACCAGAACCTCCCACGGTCCTGCTCTAGTGTCCAGCCTGAGCCCAGAGAGTATGTCTGTCCCCCCCATTCTGGGTGGGTCAGGGTTCTCCTGTGGCCTCCTCAGTCCCTCAGCCTGTGTCCTCCCCACAGTTGTCCCCATGAGGCAGAACTCCTGGAGGTAGCAGCTCTTGCCCCAGAATGGACATCCACTGCCAGCCCAGCCTGGCTCCCATGACATGAGCGTGGGCAGCCAAGGCGGGGCCCGACTTGGACAACGGCAGCATCAGGGGTCCCAGAGGGTTTATTGCCCATGGAGTGGGAAGGCCTGGTGCCCTGGGCCTGAGACAGAATGCCTCAGAGCCCAGGGGGTTCTGCTCTGGGGGGCAGCGGGAGGCTGAGGGTGCTTGCCCTAGTCCTTGCCAAGTCTGCCGGCCCCTTGGAGAAGCAGGGGGCACGACCGGCTCAGAATTCGCTAGGCCCCAAAGGCCATGGCTCCTTGTAGGGGATGGGAGATGATATGTGGACACTGCTCAGCTCTGGGTGTGTGCTTGCATGTGGGAAGTGTCCTTTATCACACGTGTGCACACACACACAGGTATGCTGCCTCCCCTACCCTGACCCTAAAGCCTCAATAAACTGCCCCAAATGGCTCGAGTGTGTCCCAAGGTTGCACCGGACAGCGTCTGTGGGGCCTGAAACCGAGACTGGCTGGGGTCACTGGGCAGTATCCCCAAGCTACCCGGGGCTGGCCGCAACTGGGGCTCTTGAGCAGGGCGTCTCCCAGGGGCCAGCGGTCAGCTGGGCCTAAAGCCTGGGGGCATTTGTGGGGCCTCACCTTCCAGGCTGCTCTGCCCGCCCACCCCCAGGGGCTCTCCTTGGCAGCGCAAGCCTGGGGTTGAAAGTCGGACAGTACGACTGTACTGCTTGCAGCAGCCTCAGCCCCGGCCCGGGTTCCTGTGTGGACCTCTTGTCTGCCTGGTTCCCCTCCTCTGGCCTAACCCTCAGCAGGAGCAGGAACTGCCACCCCATCTGGGGTGGCTCCTGGACATGGGGACTTAAGGACATGCCAGACCTGCCTGTCAGGTTTCCTGAGAGCTTGTGGGGGCAGCTCCCCAGACTCCTGGTCGGCCAGGACCAAGGAAGCAGCAGCCCTGCCCAGAGGAGCTTTGTAGGCCCCGTGAGGGTGTGGCTGCCCAGCCTTCCCGAGGGCCCCCCTGCTTCCCAGCTGGATGTGAAGCCTCAGCTGTGTGCCTGCGGCCTCCAAATTAGGGCAGAGTGACGTCCAGGCAACAGTCCTGGTCCTGGTCCTGCAGTCACACCTCTGAGCACAGTGGCTGAGACTGGAGCTCTTTGTGGTGGTCAGAACCCAGGTGCTCAGTGCAGCCACAGGCATGGGGAACAGGAGAGGGGGGCATCCTAGATGATGGGGGTCTTTGTGCTGAGTTTGGGGGTTGGCAACTGTGGGACAGACTCAGCCTTCTGGAGTGGCCCCTGAGCTGGGCCTGGTGTTCCCCACTTCCTTTGGGGCCGACCACGGGGGACATGAAGTCCTGAGTACCAGGAGCAAGGAAGCCACCAAGAGGCAATGCCACCTTGAGAGCACAGCTTGGGGTAGGGGGTGGGGGGGCAACTAGGACTGGGCACTTCCTGCCCAAGGTGGAACAGGATAGGGAGTGAATGGCCAGGCCAGGCAGCAGCAGGGGGCTCCTCACTCTAAAGCCCCCAGCCCTAACCCAGCTCCCACCTGAGCTCACTGCCCACCTCACAGCAGCCCATTCCAGACAGGGCTAAGCGAACAGGCACGTGGGATATAGTCTGGAATGCAAATGCTGACTGTGCTGTGTCCTGGGTGAGAGGGCTGGGGCCACGGGCAATCAGCACCAGGCTCCAGGGGTCTGCTCTCCCCGCCCGCAGCCCTACCTGTGTGCAGAAGGGCTAGGTGTGCCCCGGGGGGGGCCTGTCCTGAGCCCCAACACAGGGTCATCTCCCAAGCTGAGTGCACTGGCCAGCAGAGGGCAAAGCCAGGTGCCATCTGGAGACGAGGCCACGCCCTCCCAGGGTTATCTGCTCTCCCACCAACCAAAGGACGTAGGCCTGGTGCTCACAGAGCTCACCCCACCCCACCCCTCCGCCAGGCTCCTGCGTCTGTTTTCAGGGAACACCTGTTCAGAAGCCGTTTCCAGGGACCTGTCCCTGGTCTGCTGCTGGTTGAGGAAGCTGATGAGCCCTCTTTTGAACCTTGGAGGGGTCCTCAGGTAGCACCTGTGCTCTAGGGTGGGGAAAGGGACAGAACCTTCTTCCTCTAGGTGTTCCAGGAGGACAAAATCCCACGTCCCCAAGAAGTTGCCAGAAGTGCTTCAAATCACTAAGCAAACCTTGGAGTTGCTGAAGTTTACTTTTGAGCTTTAAACTGTACTTTGAAAACAATGATGTGAGTTCTGTTGAGGTAAGAAGAGGCCCAGCTCCCACACACACAAACACACACATCAGTCCATGGCAGGGCAGGTCCAGGCCAGGCCAGCTCCCCAGGCAAGCCTGGTGTGAGTACACAGGCAGCCGTCATCACGAGTCTCTGGAGGGCCAGGCTGTGTTGGGGGCTGGCACTGGAGCCCCTCCTGACCTCAGGGTTTTTGCTCCCCCCCCCTCGCCCCCAGTGCAAAAGTGGCCTTTTGGGTTGGCTGAGAACACCAGGGCTCACTGAAGGGTCACCCACAGCAAGTCATTGCCCTGTGGCAGCCAATCAGCTCCACTGGTTCTCAACCCCAAGGCTATGCACGCCTCCCTGTCACCTGCAGAACGTGGCCCTACTAGACCTGCTGGGTGTGACACTCGGTACGCCACAGTGACCTTTAGGACAGGGTCCCTCCAAAAGTGAGCCCAATTCCATGCCAGTCTTCAACTAATCCTGCCTCTCCCTCGGGCTGTTCTGGCAATCACAGAGCCAGTTCCAGCTGTCAACCCCCACTGTCTGGGAGAGGACACCAGGCCTGCGGGAAGTGTCCTGGCACCTGCACGCCAGCAGACTGCTCTGGGCATGCCCCACAACCAGCAGGTTTTCACAGTGGACTGAGAACCCACGGCAGAGAAAGCAGGCCTGGAAGATGGGCTGGGGGCTCTGCCAGGTACCCCAACCTCTGGGAGGGGCATGTTGCTGGTCACCACGAGCAGGTCCTCCGCATCCCAACTCTTTTAGCGGCCTTGTTTAAGAGGCAGAAATGCACAGAAAAGCCAAATCTGGCACCATCTTCCTTAAGAAAGTTCCCAGAGGTGGCCCTCAAGAGGCCAGTAGTAGGGGCTCCAGTCCTGAGTGCCAAAGGTCTGACCACAACACCCGTTGCCTGCCCAAGGCTGCCCTCAGCTTGGCAACGTTCAGAAGACCGTCCCGGTAACTCTGCACATCCTGGCACCTGAAACACACAAGGAAAAGAAAGTTCCCTCCTAGGGCGCATCTGGCCCACCTGAGCCCCCTCATACGGAGGGCAGGGAAGTCCCAAAATGTTTCCCCTTTCCCCCCACCCCCCTGCTGAGCGCAGATACGCAGACCTGGTCCACAGGGGCGCCCTGGCCTCTGCTCGCCTTGGTGCTCACCCGCTCACCCTCCCACCTGGTGTGGCTGTCCCCTGCCCGACAGAGCAGGGTCACAGAGGGGCCGGGGCGGTCGCGCTGCCCAGGGACAGATCAGCCGCTGTCACACGCACAGTGGGTCCGGAGCAGCGCAGTGTGCGGTGGGCAGTGGCTGCCCTGCGCCTGGAGGGACCGCCGGGTGGACGGAGGGGGCCGTCCCCCACCCCCGACCCCCCTTCTCCTCCAACTTGTGCGTCCTCGTCCCACCGCACCAGCCCGGCCCGAACCCGCCGCCCGCCAGTATGGGACCCCTCGCGCGTCACCTGCAACCCCGACGCAGGACCGTCGCCAGCTCTCTGCCCGAATTCGGCGGCCGCCGCTGGGCCCCGACTCCCCCTCCCGCCCCGCGCGGGGCGCCCGGCCCGCGCCCCGCGCCGGCCCGTATGCAAATATGAGGGTCTCG